TGAGAGGCAGAATTACAGAGAGAGGGAGAGATGTCATCCATCTGCTGGTTCACTCCCCAAGTGACAGAAACAGCTGGAGCTGGGATGATCTGAAGCTAGGAGCTGGGAGCTTCTTCCAGGTCTCCCATGTGGGTACAGGGGCCCAAGCACTTGGGCCATCCTCCACTGTTTTCCCAGGTCACTGGCGGGGAGCTGGATTGGAAGTAGAGCAGCTGGGATTCAAACTGGTGCCCATGTGGGATGCTGGTACTGCAGGCAGACATATCTTTCTATGCCAAAGTTCTGGTCCCAAGACACAAGTCATTTTTTTTAGTTTGAAAGGCAGAGAGAGTTACATAGAGGCAGAGGCAGAGGTAGAGAGAGAAAGAGAGGTCTTCCATCCACTGATCCACTCCTCACATGGCCATAATGGCTGGAGCTGTGCCAGTCTAAAGCCAGGAGCCAGGAGCCTCTTCCAGGTCACTCATGTGGGTGGCAGGGGTCTAAGGACTTGGGCCATCTTCTACTGCTTTCCAGGTCATAGCAAAGAGCTTTATTGAAGTGGAGCAGCTGGGACTTGAACTGGCACCCATATGGGATGCTGGCACTGCATGCAGAGGCTTTACCCCCTATGCCACAGTACCAGCCCTGAAATAAGTCTTCTAAAAATAAATAAAAAATAGCCCTTGGCACACCCAAATGTTGATTATGAGTGCCTAGGTTTGAGTACCAGCTCCTTCCTGCTAATGTACACCCTGGGAGGCAGCAGGTGATGACTCAAGTACCTGGTTCTCTGCCACTCATATGGGAGATCCATATTGCGTTCAAGGCTCCTGGCTTCAACTGTCCAAGCCCCAGCAGTTTCAGGCATTTGGGGAGAGAACAAGCAGATGGAAGCTCTTTGTCTCTCAAATATATAAAGAAAGAATATGTCTTTCCTCTGGGATAAAGATCAGGAAGATTTACAGTCCATTCTACAAGACTCAAGTTCCTTAAGCTTGAGTTTCTAAAGCTCTTGGCCCATCAGGCAACACAGAGTAGGCAGGCATTACTTGGCCTTGCTCATTGCTCTGTAGGAACTGGGATTCAGATGTAAAAATGACAATACTTTATTGTTATTGCAGGAGTGAAAATATGTCCTTTCTCTCTAACCCAGGGGTATATTATCTTCTTCCAGCACCCACAAAACTATAACAGATAACTGTTAGCTTGCAAAGAGGGTAAAGCCTCAGTTCTTGACATTACCAACTTAACCCTACTCCACTAAATACTTGAGCAGCATGTCCCTACTGTCAGGATCAAGATCAAACCTGTGACTGTCTCTTAACAAAGTCCTTCCTGCAGGCCATGGCTTCCTCTCTGCGTCTCCCTGCGTCCATTTCAGCTCACATCTGTTCTTTCTCTCCCATCAAAAATCTCTAAAAATGTGAAATGTTCTTCCATATCTTCTTTCCATTATTAACTATTTTTATTTCTTTAGATCTTGGAACCTCTGATCCCCACACATGTAGACCTCTCCTTTGCAGCACCTATCATGGCTGTGGTTTTATTTTCCTTTGGGTGATTACGTGATCTTGTTTTCTGTTTCTCCAGACAGGAAGAAGAAGGACTCCTACTGAGGTGCTACTTAAGTCTCCAGCCTTGGCCATAGCACAGAAAAGGTCTTCATGGATGAAAACAAACCTACCGGGCCAGTACTGTGGCTCACTTAGCTAATCTTCCACCTGTGGTACTGGAATCCCATATAGGTGCCGGGTTCTAGTCCCAGTTGCTCCTCTTCCATTCCAGCTCTCTGCTGTGGCCTGGGAAGGCAGTGGAGGATGGCCCAAGTGCTTGGGCCCTGAACTCGTGTCGGAGACCAGGAAGAAGCACCTGGCTCCTGGCTTCAGATCGGCGTAGCTCCAGCCATAGCAGCCATTTGGGGGGTGAATGAGCAGATAGAAGATCCATCTCTCTCTTTGTCTCTCCCTCCTTCTCTGTAACTCTGCCTTTCAAATAAATAAATCTTAAAAAAAAAAACCAGAAAGAAAGAAAACCAGACTCCTAACAAGGCTTTAAGACTTCTAATGAGCAGTATGACTGCAGTAGCAGAGAACATTTCATGTCTAAATTTAATGTTTAGATTTTTTCCCCAAAAACTCACTCATAGCTTTATGATGTCCCTGATTTTCTTCCAAACACTATTTAGAAATGTGGATCAAGTTGCTTCTGTCATCTCAGCACAGTACTTACCTTTCTTAAGAATTTTCTTAACTTTCACATAATTCCCTTGTTTAACATACTCAAGAAGCTGAGCCTCTAGGGAGTCATTTCTTAAGGTACCAAGCTGAACAGGACAGGGTACTGGAAGATGAACAGTCCGTGACATCCTGTTTCAAAAGAGAACAACAGGCCTATTCTAACTGAGCTAGAAATGCAATGAAGAAACTTAGATTCTTTCACATGTAGAAACTTGCCCACTTTGATAAATACAGTTGTCTCTGGGTATCAGTGGAGAACTGGGTCCAGGATTCCTCCCCCTAACCCCAGTAATCCCTCAATGCTCAAGTCCTTTTTATAAAAATGGTAGAGTGTTTGCATATAGCCCAGATTCATTCTATCCTATACTTTAAATTATCTCTGGACTATTTATAATAGCTAATATATACATGCTATATAAATAGTTGTTATATTGTATTGTTCAGGAAAAATGACAAGAAAAAAGTCTGTACACATTTTGTGCAGATGCTATTTATTTCTTGAGGATATTTTTTATCTTTGGTTGGTTTAATTCATGGATGTGGGACTCATGGATACAAAGGGCCAACTGTAATGAAGAAGATTATGTAAAAATGAATGAAATTCTATGAGATTGATGAGACTGAAGAACTATTCATCAGCATTTCTCTCTCTATCTCTGTCTCTGCCTCTCTGTAACTGCCTTTTTTTTAAATTTTTTTTTATTTTTTGACAGGCAGAGTGGACAGTGAGAGAGAGAGACAGAGAGAAAGGTCTTCCTTTTGCCGTTGGTTCACCTTCCAATGGCTGCTGCAGCCGGCGCGCTGGGGCTGGTGCATCACACTGATACGAAGCCAGGAGCCAGGTGCTTCTCCTGGTCTCCCATGGGGTGCAGGGCCCAGGGACTTGGGCCATCCTCCACTGCACTCCCAGACCACAGCAGAGAGCTGGCCTGGAACAGGGGCAACCAGGACAGAATCCGGCGCCCCGACCAGAACTAGAACCGGGTGTGCCAGTGCTGCAGGTGGAGGATTAGCTTATTGAGCTGCAGCGCCAGCCTGTAACTGCCTTTCAAATAAATGGATAAATTCTAAAAAAAAAAAAGAAGAATTTAACATTGTGTCATTAAGATAATTTTTATTTTTGTTTATCTTTCTCCCATTTTATCTAATTGTTTAATTTTTAATTATTTTTTAAATTTTGGAAACTATTGACTTTGAAATGTTAGAACACAAATATGCAGTCATTATATATTTAAGATTGGGGGTAGATACGTGGCACAGCAGTTGAGTTGCTGTTTGGGATGCCAGCATCACATATCACAGCACCTGGTTTGAGTCCTGGCTATTCCACTTCCTGCTAATACGTACCCTGGGAGGCAGCAGATGATGGCTCAAGTATATATATATATATATATATGTGTGTGTGTGTGTGTGTGTGTGTGTGTGTGTGTGTGTATATATGGAGAGAGAGGACAGTATTAAGTAGTAGTTAAGTTCATACTTCAGACCCTGAAGTTCTGGCTCTGTTACCTCCCTGTTACCTCAGAGAAATTATCCAACACTGATACACTTCCACGTCTTCATCTGTAAAATGCAGCTTAAAATAACCAGATGGTTGTTGAGCATTTCAAGTGAGCTAATATGTGTAGTGTCCTTAGAATAGTGCCTGGCACACCAGGAGTTCTCTGTAGTTGCTAGCTATTACTGTACACAATAACCATGCACAGACATTTTACTTTGTACACTTTGAAACTATACTTGACTATCATTCAAACAAAATCAAGTGTTGTACCTACTGCTATGATTTGAATGTGTCCCCCAAAGTTCATGTATTGGAAACTTGATCACCAATGTGAAGCTACTGGAAGTTGGGACCTTTAAGAGCTACTTAGGTTATGTTTACTCCCTCCTCATGAATGGAATGAATGCTGTTATTGTTGAGGGAACAAGGTTTTTTTTTTTTTTTTTTAATTCATTCATAGGAATAGGTTCCCTATAAATGGATCAGTTCAGGGCCCATTTTGCACCTCCCACTGTCCCTGTACTTCTCCACCTCCCACTCCTGCTGCCTCTCATCCTGCAGTGATGCAGAAAAAAGGCCCTCGGGGCAGCGCTGTGGTGCAGTGGGTTAATGCCCTGGCCTGCAGCGCCAGCATCCCATATGAGCACCGGTTCGAGTCCCAGCTGCTCCAATTCCTATCCAGCTCTCTGCTATGGCCTGGGATAGCAACAGAAGATGGCCCAAGTCCTTGGGCCCATGCACTCACGTGGGAGACCTGGAAGAAGCCCCTGGCTCCTGGCTTTGGATCTGCACAGATCTGGGCGATGCGACAAATTGGGGAGTGAACCAACAGATGGAAGACCTCTCTCTCTGCCTCCTCTCTCTCTGTAACTCTCAAATAAATAAAAATAAATCTTAAAAAAAGGGTGGGTGGGTGGGAGGGAAGTTATGGTGGGGGGAAGCCACTGTAATCCAAAAGCTGTACTCTGGAAATTTATTAAATAAAAGTTTTAAAAAAAGAGAGAGAAAGGCCCTCACCCCCTCACCCCACACCACGCCCCTTACCTTGGACTTTTCAGCTTTCAAAACTGAAAAATAATTCCTGTGCATTATCAATTGCCTAGAGGCCTGTGCTATGCCGCAGTAGGTTAAAAACACAGCCTACAGCTCTGGCCAAATGGATGGCAGTTGGACTCCCATCTGCTCCCTTTCTCATCCAGCTCTAGGAAAATAGCAGAAGATAGCCCAAGTACTTGGTGACAAACAAAGGATACTTAAATCTACTATTCAAACACCAACACCAGGAGAAAACGCGAACACAGTCCCCCACTACCAGAAGCCACACAGCTGAGTTCCCCACATTTGGGGAAATCAGAGAAATCAGCACATCGGGATGCATAAGCCTCATCCTGGAAAAACCACCTTCGTGATTGTGGCGTCTCCCCCTGCCACGTAAGTATGGGTTGCAGGTGCCCCCAGCACGGGCCCAGTGATGCATACACACTGTACAGTTCAGGTCGTTCCTGAAACGACTCTGGGGCTTTACCTGCGAATTACCAACCAAAAGAAAAGAGATTTTCACACTATAGCTTAGTACTTGTGATAAAGATGATATGACTATGTCTTCAGGGAACGCGCTTCCAAAATCGCTCGGAGTCTTTAATCTACATACTCCACCTCCTGGAGTCACGTCATACGCAGGCCCAGCCCCGCTGGGCGCACGCCAGCGGCTTCCTCTCGGCGGACCGCGCCCTTTATCCCGTTTAGCTGCTCCTCCTGCCCGCGCTGAGGAACGTGAAATCGGGCTATTTTTCTGACAAAAAGGCAGCCTTCCCCCAGCTTTTCGCGTAGCCAAAGACCTTCAGGTAGACAGCTGAGAGCTCAACTTTAGCAAACGGGCATGGATAGGATTTTATTCCCGAGGCAACTTCATGCCTTCCCAGTACACTGACGCTCCAAGCAGACCAGCTCTGTTGCTAGCGAGGAACAGGGCGTGCTAGCTGGGTGTATGTACTGCAGAGTAGGGGTTCTGGAACCCAAGATCTGGACTGCAACTCAGTGTTCACACTGGACAACTCTAGACAAGGTTCTAGCCACTGAACCTGTTTGGAAAATACGCATCACTGACCTTGGAGAAGTACTTGTGATAATTAAACCAAATAAAGTAGCAAAGCAACAGCCTAAACTGTAACACATAATTATAACTTGTGAATCTGGCAACCCAATGAAAACCTGAAAACAAACCAATACTAACAGCCACCATCCACTACTGAGTGCTTACTATGCACCCCACTTTACATGTTATCTTTGTAACTCAGGTGGGAGTTAGAATCTTTTTTTTTATTTGTTTCACAAATAAAGAACCCTGAAGCATGACAAAACTTAATTGCTTGCCAGACTTTAAAAACTCTTTGCCTTCTCCCCCCCCCCCCACTTTGACAGCTCTCATCTTTTGGTTCAATCCCCAAATGCACACAATGACCAGGAATGGGCCCGGACAAAGCCACCCTCGAGTCCCAGCTACACTCCCAATTCCAGCTTCCTGATGATGTGCACCCTGGGAGGTAGTGATAGCTCAGGAGTTGTGTTCCCAGCTGGAAATCCAGGCTCCTAGTTTTGGCCTGGCCCAGCCCTGTCTGTTGGCAGGTATTTGGGAGGAGAACCAGCAGATGAACAATGGATCTCTGTTAGTCTCTGTCTCTCTGCCTTTCAAATAAAAATAACTGCTAAACAAGGAAGGATGGGAAGGAGGGTGGGAAGGAACTTAGAGACAAAGGGATAAAGTTTTTTTTTTTTGTTTTTCTTTTTGTTGTTTTTGTTTTTGGACAGGCAGAGTTAGTGAGAGAGAGACGGAGAGAAAGGTCTTCCTTTTGCCGTTGGTTCACCCCCCAAATGGCTGCTACAGTCGGCGCGCCGCGCTGATCTGAAGCCAGGAGCCAGGTGCTTCTCCTGGTCTCCCATGTGGGTGCAAGGCCCAGGCACTTGGGCCATCCTCCACTGCCTTCCCAGGCCAGAGCAGAGAGCTGGACTGGAAGAGGAGCAACTGGGACAGAATCCAGCGCTCTGACAGGGACTAGAACCTGGAGTACCAGACCCGCAGGCAGAGGATCAGCCTAGTGAGCCACGGCGCTGGCCAGGGATAAAGATTTTAAGGAGAGGCTCTCCAAGTTTGGACAAACTCCAAAAAGATAAACTACTGGATGGAGACCTTCATTCATTACTCAGAAAAGAATGAAGAGCCCTGCTCGCATAGAAAAACAGAAATGTCTAGGAGAAAGCATCCTGCATTTGAGTGCATTGGCCTAGTCACATCAGATGCAATTTATTTACTTGTTCAGTTTCTAGGTGTGTCCCTTCAAGCAGAGCCTGTATTTATAAATTTACTCTATTTTCTTTGTTTCCTTTTGTCCTCCTTTGGCATTTAGTAAAATGCTGACTTTTTTTTTAAAATTTTTGACAGGTAGAGTGGACAGTGAGAGAGACAGAGAGAAAGGTCTTCCTTTGCCGTTGGTTCACCCTCCAATGGCTGCTGTGGCCGGCGCTCTGCGGCCGGCGCACCGCACTGATCCGATGGCAGGAGCCAGGAGCCAGGTGCTTTTCCTGGTCTCCCATGGGGTGCAGGGCCCAAGGACTTGGGCCATCCTCCACTGCACTCCCTGGCCACAGCAGAGAGCTGGCCTGGAAGAAGGGCAACCGGGACAGAATCCGGCGCCCCGACCGGAACTAGAACCCGGTGTGCCGGCGCCGCAAGGCGGAGGATTAGCCTAGTGAGCCACGGCGCCGGCCCCAAAATGCTGACTTTTAAGGAGGAGTAAGTTCAAGAGACCTATACAGTTCAATATTGTGACTATACTTAATAACTATCTATTGTTATCTTGAAAATTCCTGAGAGTAATTTTTTTTTTGCTAATCTGTCTTTAAGATGTATTTATTTGAAAGACAGAGTGACAGAGAGAGAGGGAGAGACAGAGATCTTTGATCTGCCAGTTCACTCCCCAAATGGCTGCAGCAGTGGTGGGCCTAAGTACATGGGCCATCCTCTGCTGTTTTCCCAGGAGCATCAGCAGGCAACTGAATTGGAAGCAGAGCACCTGGGACTTGAACTATTGCTCCAATGTGGTATGCCAGTGTTGTAGACAGCAGTTTAACCCACTGTATCACAATGCTGACCCCTGGTCAATCTTTTTTAGATAGAGCTCATATCCTCTGGTTCACCTGCTGAATGCCCATGACAGCTGGGGCCAGGCCAGGTCAGAAGTTGGGAGCTGGAAGCTCAATCGAGGTCTCCCACATGAGTGGGTGGGAGGCTGAACTCAGAAGCTGAACCTGGGACTCAAACCCAGGTAGTCTAATATGGGATGCTGGCACCCCTAGCTTAAAAGCTTATCTGCTAGGCCAAATGCCCACCCTGACAGTGATTTTAAGTGTTTTCACCACAAACAAGTGATAAGTATGCCAGGTAACACATATGTTAATTAGTTCAATTTAGTTGTTCCATAATGTATTCATATTTCTAAACAATATGCTATATACAATAAACATAAACATCTTTTCTTTGTCAATTAAGAGAATGTCAACCTGAAAGGTGTGAGGAAAAAGGAAGGGAGAGCTTCAGTTTTGGAGTGCAGCAGGCCCAAAGCTTGGGAGAGACAGATTGTGCAGTGAATGAATGTCTGCAATGGAAAAAGCCAATGGAGCAAGCTAGAACTACATTAGGAGTCAAGTGCATCTAGAGCTTAGGCTGGCTCAGCAGTTAAGTGAAAACTCAGACTTTATGGCAAAAGGGAGACACAGAAGAGTTTTCAGGTGAGTAATGATTGGTTGCTTTTTACTTTTTATAATAAAGATATATTTACTTATTGGAAAGACACAGAGAGAGAGAAGGTGATAGATCATGCATCCGTTGGTTCATTCCCCCAAATGGCTGCAATGGCAAGGGCAGGCCAGGCAGAAGCCAGGAGCTTCATCTGGAACTCCCAAATGGGTGCAGGGGTCCAAGTAGTTGGGCCATCTTCCACTGTTTTCTCGAGCCCATTAGCAGGGAGCAGGATTGGAAGTGGAGCAGCCAGACTGGAATCGGCACTTATGGGGGATCCTGGTGTCCCAGGCAGAAGCTTTACCCACTATACCACAATGCTGTGCCCCCGTTAGGCTTTTTATATATTTTTAAAGAAAGATTTATTTGGGGCCAGTACTAATGTGCCTGGAAGGGCTGTGAAAGATGGCCCCAGCCACTCACATGGGAGACCTGAATGGAATTCCTAGCTGGCCCAGCACTGACCGTGAAGTGATGGCCATTTGGGGAGTAAACCAACAGATGGAGATCTCTGTATTTCCCCACCACTATCACTCTGCCTCTCTTTTTCTTCCTTCCCTTCCCTTCCCTTCCCTTCCCTTCCCTTCCCTTCCCTTCCCTTCCCTTTCCTTCCTTCCTTCCTTCCTTCCTTCCTTCCTTCCTTGATTTATTTACTTATTTGAAGGCAGAGTTACAGAGAGGCAGAGGTAGAGAGAGAGGTCTTCCATCCACTGGTTCACTCCCCAATTGGCCGCAATGGCCGGAGCTGCACTGATCCAAAGGCAGGAGCTAGGAGTTTCTTCTGAGTCTCCCACGTGGGTGCAGGGCCCCAAGCACTTGGGCTATCTTCTACTGCTTTCCCAGGCCTTAGCAGAGAGCTGGATTGGAAGAGGAGCAGCCAGGACTAAAACCAGCGCCGTATGGGATGCCGGCACTGCAGGCGCCAGCTTTACCTGCTTCTCTTTACACATGTTTTTAATTTCTTCTACCCAGGTGTTTCAAAACTTCTCCACATTTAAACATTTCTCAATGACAGTGGCATTACTCCCAAAGGGAAGTCTTGAAAATCTGTGGGGATGTATTTTGTACAGTCATGCCAAACGCTTGCATATTGAGGGAGATCAGAAGAGGAAATCCTAAAGTATACTTGAGTTTATTTCCAGGTGGCTATTCTGAGGCACTGCAGACACAAGAATGACACTAAAAAAGTAGTCCTTTTGTAAAAGTAAACTCACATCTATATATGTTAGTAAACAGTGGGTGCAATGAAGGCTTTTCTATCTATTTGTCTAGGAAAGATCTTTTCACAAGAGATTGGGGATCTGGCATTTGGCCCTGAAAAAGAGTATTGCAGGTGACCTTCAGGTGAGTGTTACCTGGGAGACATTATCTGCATAGGACCACCTTTGTTCAGTAGTCCCTCACACTTCTATGACATGCATTACCACCTACCCACCCCGGAAACCTCAAGCTCCTATTTCTGTAGCTCAAAATGCTATTTGAGCTTCAATCTTCTGAGCCCTTTCTTTGAGCCTCATACTTTGTTATCTCATGTCTCTGCATGCTAATAAATACAGGAATGAAAGGAAAAGCTTCCCCTGGAATGCAATGACGACAAACAGATTACACAGGAGAAGATACATAGATCTATTATGTGTTTAGTGG